GTACTTATGTGGGACATATGCACATGCAGTGGTTTAGCGATTCCATTCAAAATGGCCGACTGGCAGCCATCTTGTTTTTTGAAAATGTTGTATTTTGGACATGCTTTGTCAGTTGTCATTCAAACTTGGTACATAGATTATACATGTTAGGATACATGTCCATGATGGATCAAAGATGGTCGACTGGCAGGCATCTTGTTTTTGTTTTTTTATGCGGTATCTTGGACGTGCTCTGTCAGTTTTCATTCAAATTTGGCACATACATGTACTTTATACATGTTAGGATGCATATCCATGACAATTTGTTTCAAAATCTGGTCAAGGATGGCCGATTGACAGCCATCTGACTTTTTGGCCTTACTACTATATTTCCACAATTTATGTACCATTTTCATTCGTATTTGGCACATACATCATACATATCAGTGTGTTTCATAATCAGATCAAAGATGGCTGAATAACGGCTGTTTTTATTTTGGCCATATTACTATGACACGAAACACGTGTTTTGATGTAAATAAACAATCTGTTGTATACGCCACTTGGAACTCAAGTTTCAAGGACACGCTCGCGACAACCCCTCCGCTTTAATATGACGAGCACAAAGAGAACTTAACGGGGACTGTGTTATTTTCAATGACTTGTTTATAGCAGCTTAAGGCACATCTAATGCAGCCTCCCTAAAAATTTGATAAGAACCAAAGTTTTTTTGAATGAACAATAAATGGTTTTACAGTATGTCACGTTGTAGTATGACAGGTGCCACATGTTCCATCTAGGGCTGCTAGGCATTTTATACTGCAATAACAGTCATGTTTTGGTTTTAACACTAAACAAATAATGCTTGTTATCTGTTGAGATGAGAATTCTAACATTTGAAATGCACACATTTCTTATGATAGGGAAGCAGTAACACAGCAGTGCAGCCAGCACCAATATTAAGACCCAGTGAAGTGTACTACAGTAAGATGACCCCTGCTCTCAAAGAAAAAGTAAGTTTGAACAGTCAACATTCCTAATATTGAGAGATTTGAGCTACATGTCACCAAGTGTTCAATCTTAGTGATTCATGTGGCTGTGTTTGTGGGGTATGGCACGGCACATAATGGATCAAAATCATAACCTTTTATTGTTGTTTTGCAGGGAATAACCGATTTATCATCACGCAAGGAATGGCCATTAAGTGTTATGAGACAAGTACTGCAGGACATCATGGAGGAAACACCAAGTGATCTTTTATCAAGGTATGTCATGTATTTATGTTTGTCGATGTTTTGCAGTTGACATTTTGTTACTTTTAATATTTATTTTGAATTTCACTTATTTCTGATTCAAAATGCCCTGTTAACTGACCGCATTAACAGTAAAAAAAAATTCAACAGCGTTCAGCACCATGTGATAATTTGATCCCAGTGTACTGCTACTCATTGTGTGTTATGTTTGCAGGGAGCTATGGTGTTCTTGTAGTGGTGCATCTGAATGGTGGCAGATAAGCCAGAGTTATGCAAGGTCTACTGCCGTCATGTCAATGATTGGATATATCATAGGTTTAGGTGATAGACATTTAGATAACGTAATGGTAGATCTTCTTACAGGGGAGGTGAGTCAGGCTACAAGATATAATGCGATTATCTGTATACAAGAGTGACTATGTCTTAATTTGTGCTGTTATAACCAGCAAAATGATAATTGGTCAACCAGGCTAATTTATATTGAAAGAAATTCCAGTACCAACTATGTATATTTTTCATTTATTTGTAGGTTGTTCATATTGATTATAATGTTTGTTTTGAGAAAGGCCGAAATTTGAGAGTGCCTGAGAAAGTTCCGTTCCGAATGACTCCCAATATACAGACAGCATTAGGAGTTACTGGTGTAGAGGTAAGCGCAGCTGGTCTTCTGTGTCATCATCATCATCATCTACCATGGTTTTATCAGTGATTCACAACATCCCAACATGCATAGAGATGAAGTAGATATGGTCATTGACTTATTAGTAGAGAATCTATGAATGACCCTTTAAATTTTTATGCATTTTTCTAAAATTTAATACTGAAAAATAATTTCTGAAGATATGAAAAACATTCTTCATATTATTTTTTTTGGTGAAATGTGAAAAAGATTACTTTGTTCACAAAGTGTTCATTGTTGAAAAACATTCTTTGATTGACATGCTTTCTCTTTCAGGGTGTCTTTCGCTTGTCTTGTGAGCAAGTTTTGAAAACAATGCGAAAGGGGCGAGAGACTTTGTTGACTTTGCTAGAAGCATTTGTTTATGATCCACTGGTGGACTGGACAACAGGTAATGAAGCAGGATTTGCCAGTGCTTTCTACGGTGGTGGACAGCTCAATCCAGCCATCACTGAGGGCAGACAGAGTAAAGAACAAATGGAAAGAGAAATCACAAGGAGTTTATTTTCATCAAGAGTTGCTGAAATGAAGAAAATGTGGTTTAAAAACCGGTCAGTAGCAAATATTTTTGTTTAGACAATGCATATTTAGTATGATTATTCAGACTTGTATTACTTGTATGTATGTTTTATTATTGCTGAGGAAGGGTTGAACCCAAAACATTCTGTTTTTTTTTTTAGTTCCAGCCTCCGCTGTCGACTTTGTCGAGCGGAGCTTATCATATGAGTGATTGTCCGTCGTCGTCCGTGTCAATGTTTTACTTTTTCGACTTCTTCTTGAAAACTACAAGCCTGAATGCTTTGACACTTGGTGTATATGTACCTTGGGTAGACCTCTCTTAAATTTGTTCATTTCATGAATGATATCTTCAATTCTCTAATTTTGGTGAATATTTTTGCCATTTTTGGTAAAAAGT